CGGAAGGCCTGCGATCGGACGCCGAGGTTGCTTTGTTTCTTCTCGATAGGCGAGTTAACACCGTGTCTGCGCCGCAACAGCTAAAGTCTGTCTAGCACACTGGACGTTACAAAGCAACCGTTGAAAATCATTTGAAATTTGTGTCAATACATCATGAATAGAACGCAGCAGCAGTTTTCTGTCGTGTCATGCCACGCCGCATCCAGTGTAGACCATAGATAGTTCAGCGGAAAAAAGTTTTTTTTTTACCCAGTCATTTAAAAAGAACACATTTTAGAGCTGTAACGACAATACCGTGATACCGTGAAACCGTGATATTTTAGCTTAAGGCTATCATACCGTCAAAATCTCATACAGCCCATGCCTAGATTAAATGTGAGCCCATGGGCCATAAAGGTGGTTGTTGTAATTGTCTGTCCTAAGTGCTAAATTTGTCTGGAATGATCTCACAGGTACTGTGTGCCTCCCGAACATGGAAAAAGACTGGAGCGGTTAGCCAAAGGTAAACAGCCTTTTATGTCCTCAATTCTGTACAAGAAAATATTTTTCTCGATTTACATTTGCTCATATTTATTGCTTCCTATTGTCTTCCTAAGGCTTTTTCCCTGGAAGTTCACAAAACTGTGAAGCATTTCTTAGGCACAAGATGACTCTTATTTCTCCCTCAATTCTAAAGAAGTATGGCATTCCTTTTGAAAAGGTATGTTGTTGTGAGTGCATTTGATGACTTGATTTTTATTATTAGTACCCCATTTTAGGCCCGTTTCACACTAGACACGCAAGCAGTGTAATCAGACACAGACACTGTGAAAACACAGCTTGTTATATGTGTAGTATGTGTGGGACAGTGGGAGGGGAACACGGTCGCATCATAGCAGAGTATGCTGCCCAGCATAAATCAAAGCATGTGACATACAGTTGTCAGAAGAGAACACCTAAAAAAGGTGGCACAATGGACAATACCTATCTGTATTTGCAGTACACAAGCCTAGGTTCACCTGCGCGTGACGGACGCTGCCAGTGTGAAAGCACAACAGGCCTGTGCTGTTTCCACTCTGCTTATGCATCCAGTATGAAGCCAGACTTAGGCTTCCTGTTTCCGCAGTGTACTGTACATTTGTTTGTAGCTCTATTTGAGGAGGTTTTGTGATGTCATTGTCCGTTTTTGCTTTGCAGATCACTCAGGAGGCTGGAGAGTTCATGATAACGTTTCCATATGGCTATCATGCAGGGTTTAACCATGGTTTCAACTGTGCTGAATCTACCAACTTTGCCACAAGGCGATGGGTTGACTATGGAAAGCAAGCCATACTGGTAAAAATTAATAAATAAATAACCATTCAAAAGTTTAGGGTCGGTTATATCACAGGAGTAAATAAACTTTGAAAATGCATTAAAATAGAAAACATTTATTCTAAATTGTAATAATATTTCAATAGTATTACTGTTTTTATTGTGTTTTTTGATCAACTAAATGCATCCTTGGTGAGCATGAAAGACTCCAAAATATTATATATAATATGATCAAATGATTCCTGTGATGGCAAAGTTGAATTTTCAGCAGCCATTACTCCAGTCTTCAGTGTCACATGATCCTTCATTCTAGTATGCTGATTTGGTGCTCAAGAAACTTTTCTTCTTATTATATATGTTCAAAACAGTTGTCCTGCTGAATATTCTTGTTGACATTTTTATTTAGATTCTTTGATGAATAGGAAGTTTAAAAACAGCATTTGAAATGGAAGTCTTTTGAAACATTATTAATGTCTTTACTGGCAACTTTGATCAATAAAATGTGTCCATGCTGAATTAAAGTATTAAATTCTTTAAAAAAGCTTTTGAATGGTAGTGTATATATAAACAGTTGTAATCTCTATCATCTTTGTCAGTGGCATTTATTGTGTACTTAAATGCTTGTACACACTACACAGTGCATCGATCTTGGTATATTTTCCCCTTAGTGTTCTTGTAGAAAAGACATGGTGAAGATCTCCATGGATGTGTTTGTAAGGAAATTTCAGCCTGAACGGTACGAGCTGTGGTTGTCGGGGAAGGACAATGCTCCCATTGACCACTCCAAGCCTATGCCTGAAGCAGCTGAGTTTTTAGGTGGAGAGGCTGGGAAGAGTGGTGCTCAGGAACTCTGCAACGTTAACCAAAGTAGTGAGGGACAAAAAAAGAGGTGAAAAACAATCACTGATCTTCTCATTTGCACATACTGAGATGTGAAAAGAATCCTGTTATATCAGTTTTAAATGTTGCCTTTTCTAATTAAATTAGCTTGGCCAAACAAAGGATAGGAACCAAAAGACACAGGGTGTGTCTGGATTTACCAGAGGAAGTTCTTCCAAAGAGTGAAACAAATGATGAGGAGGTTGAATATGGCAAGAAGAGCCGCTTGACTACATACACAGAACAATGCAGAGAGTATCCAGGTGCGTCATGTTGTAATGGCCTAAATAAAAAAATTAAAAAAGACTTTTGTAGTCTTTACCTTTAATTGTTATTTCAAAGAAATAGTTTTACAGATTTTCAGAATTGACAAACTAAGGCAACTTTAAGTGATAGTGACCACTGGAGCACCTTCAAAAAATTGTGTTATTAATATATATATATATATATATATATGAAATTTGATGAAAACCAAATCTATTTCAGAATTGAAAGATGAAGATGACGATGACCTGCTGCCTCTGATGGGTTCAACCAGTTTAAAGATGCTTCCTGGTTCTAGAAGCCCTGCATCTGGGGAGCATGTTAGGGGCGCAGGTTTAAGTGCCACAAACCCGTTCTCAGCCTGTTCACAGTCCTTCCCAAAGCGTCATCTCTGTATAGCATCTGTCCCTACTGTCCCTCACTGCCTGTCAGCCGTGCCACGGATTTCCACCAAACCAGGGGTGGCAAGCCTTCTTTTTCATCGGACCCTGAGCCCTTCAGATGCCCTGCAGGTCCACAGCTATGCAGCCAGATCAGTGCTCTATAAACCTCAACAACCCAGCAAAGAGAAACCCAGAGAAGACCTCAATGAGTCAGACATCAAACCGGATGTGAGGCCAAATACGCCACAACCAAACACAAAGGTTGGTACATATATTGACTTAGCGTGTTGATATTTGATAGGGGCATTTTAAGTGATTTTGTAGTTGAGTACTGAAGCATATAAAAATGCAAGTAACTAAATATTATGCAATAAAATCAGCAGTTAATTGATTATAAAAAAATCAGTGAGCCAGTGATTATTTTCATGTAATTGCTGATAATAGACATTGAAACTGTATAATATTAAAGCTGTATTAAAACTATTATATTTATCTATAATATATACAGTATAATATATATTTATATTATACTGTATATTGAAACTGTATTAAAAATAAAACGCTAAACACGAAAATAAAATAATTGTAAATAATTTAAGTGCATTTAGCCGTCACATTATTATGTACAGTATGAAAAATGAATATTCATTTTAAAATTTATTAAAGGCATTTAACAATGTTATTAAATTATTAATATTTTAATTATTACTTTTGAATGAAATTACTTCAAAGGTAACTTGAATGTAAAAATTGAGGAAATGAATGTTACATGTAATCTTGTGACACTGAAGATTTGGAGTAATTGCTGCTGAAAATTTGTCTTTGCCATCACAAGAATAAAGTACGTTTTTAAATATATATATTAAAAAAGTCAGTTATTTTGCAATAATATTTCAAACTATTACTGTCTTCACAGTATTTTTATTTAAAAAATGCAGCCTTGGTGAGCATAAGAGTTTTCAAAAACATAAAAAAAGCATAGCAACTCCAAACTTTTGAACAGTTATATATTTAAATCACCTCGATGACATGAATCCAAATGAAAATGAACTCCTCTTGCTTTTTTTCAGCTTGAAATCGAGGGAGAGAAAGAGAATAAGAGCATGAAGAGGAAACTGCAGCCACTCAGTAAATTGCCACGCTTGCATCCCCTGCTCAGAGAAAGCTCCAGTGATGAAGGTTAGGATCTGCTTCACATTGTTCATTTATTGTCGCATCACTGTTTGTGCTCTTTCTAATTAGTTCCTTCACTCCACAGAGATTCAAGAGCCAGCAGCTGAGCCAGAGGAGACCGATCACTGGGCCAGACTCCTGGCTCCCATGTGGCAAAGCAAGCCACGCAACTTTAGAGTTGAGAAGGATTTTAACTTTCGCATGGGCCAGCATCCTCCGTACTGTGCAGTGTGTACCCTCTTTCACACGTACACAGAGGTAACATGCTATTACTATAATCACAAAAATCTCTTATTGCTCAAAGTTCTTTTGTTTGAGTGGCAAACACAGCAACTTGGTCTCATTGGCTGTTTGATGCTGCTAGTGGCTCAGAAATTACACACTGAAGTCTGATAAGTTGTGAAAACAAAATGTAGTAAAGACATGATACAGTAAGAAGTAATCATCCCTTTATTTGTGAGCTGATAGTTGAAAAGTGATTTGTGGAATCACTGTGCACTTTGCCGTTTCTTCTGTATAGGGTGATGTAATCGGCCTGAGCCAGAGTGGTTCAGCAGCTGAAGGAGGAGACATACAGAGGACCAAGCCACTGATTCCAGAGATGTGCTTCACCAGCAGCTCTGAAGGACACCTGTCCACCCCGAATCTGGAGGAAGATGGCACTAGCCAACTCGTCAGCTGCTTTGAGTGTAGTGTGCGTGTACATACAAGTAAGCAGTTTGTCACTCACTGTTATCACTGAAATATCTGCACTTGATATGATGTGTCACAGCAGTGGCAGGCCTTTTCTAGACAGCATTTTCTAATTCTTTTATAATTACACGTGCAGTTTATTAAACTAGAGACTGCATGGAATATTTCTACATTTTGTACAGATTTTACTTTCTCAATTCATATTCTTGGTTGTCTTATCATGTTCCATATAATTTGCCTACTGGCCATAGACAACCATTTAAGAGTTTGGGATTAATACTTTTAATAGTTCATTAATATTAACATTAATAGTAAGAAGAAATGTATCTCGATCACTAAATCAGCATATTATAATGATTTATGAAAGATCATGTGACACTGAAGACTGGGGTAATGGCTGCTGAAAATTCAGCTTTGCCATCTCAGGAATACATTATATTTTAAAACAAACAACAAATTACTTTAAATTGCTATAAATATTTCTTAATATTTTTGTTTTTACTATATTTTTAATTTATATTTTCAAATAAATGCAGCCTTGGTGAGAATAAGAGACTTCTTTCAAAAACATTAAAATGTCTTGCTGACCCCAAACTTTTGAACAGTAATGCATATAACCTCTTATTAAATGAGAGACTACATGGAATATCTGTGCCTTTTTAAAAGTTACATAACAGAACTATTCAAAGTAGGGCTGGGCGATACAGCCAAAAAAATGATATCTCTGTATTTTTTGGCTGAATTGCAATATACGGTACATATCTATGTATTTTCTAAATTTTTCTTTCTTCTTTGGATTATAAAATATATATTTATTT